ACAGCAGCCAGTGCATTCATGCACTGTTCAAGCTAATGAGATCTGCACAGAAAAATGGAACTGCCTTTTATCCATCCAGCCTACACTGTCTGAAAGCAGATTATTCCTGTGGGTCATGGCAGCCAGATGTCACAGCCCACACACACACACAGGGACAATTTTGAGACGCCTATTAACCTTATCAATATGTTTTTGGACGGTGGGAGGAAATCGAAGCCCCATGGAGAACACAAAAGCCCCACACAGAAGCTGCCCCAGCCTGAAATCAAGATCCCTGGACACAAGTGCTACAAACGACCTGTGCCAATGTCCACACCACATTGCCACCCATAATATGCTTTGTCGTGTTTACGGATTGTTTTGTATTGAGCTACAATGGATGTTCATGCTGAGGCCTTTGCTCCTGGTGTGATAGTGCTGTTCGATTTGACTGGGCTCGGTGTGATTGTCCCAGTTCACCCGTCGAAGGCTCGTACCTCCATGGGGAACTGCTCCCCGTCGATGGTGTGCTCTGACCCCGGTCCGGCCTCCCAGCCCCAGTGCAGGTGAAAGTTGACGGCTTTGTACCAGTCTGGCATGTGCCCTCCCTGAGTCCTCACTGACGAGGAGAGAGCAAAGTGCACTTGGGAGGAGAGGAGAGAGTCAGCGCTGTGTGTGTAACCCACAACCCTGAGACACTATAGAAAGAGTCCGATTGCGCTTTGCTAAGAAATGGAGCACTTAAGGACTGAACAGGGGGTTTGTAAACAGGTATACCTGTAATATACAATAGGAAAGTCCACATTATGTTTCGTATTTTGGTAACCAGAAATTGAACAGACTTTTCTAAGTGAGATTTTACTAGTGCATTAACATAACAGCTGTAGTCTTACATCTGCATTAACATAACAGTATTAGAAGTTATACATTATTAATTACATATCCTAAAAATTGTCTGCTTTTCTAGTAGCTTCCCCACAGATTAGAAGATGGGAATGGTGTGTGGCCATAAACTTCATAAACTCCAAGGTATCAGCTGTACGCTCAGTTTCTCAGCTCATATTTACAGAACAGCTTAATGTTTCTCTGTTTTTCCCCTTGGAGTGGACAGTCCAGAGTCACACCAGCCTTCTGATTTGCTGTGACCGTTGTGCAGGTTAAAGTAGCCTTGACCCAGGTTGGTGATGTTATGCGCAACCTCTTCAAACTCAAGTAGGGAGCTGCGTCAGCATGCGTAGGCTGCAAAGGAACAAGTACAGGTTTATTCCCTGCTGAAAAGAAAAGCATGGAATAAACCTTTACTTGCTCCTCTTCAAGCTCATCTTTTGTCCTGAAATGGGATTTTTTTTTTCAGTCTCCATCCATTAAAAAATGAAGAGGGGATCCTCTGGGAAAAACACGACATGGTTTTATTTTAAGTTTAATTCCGCAACGCTGATGGAAAAAAGTCTCGTCAGCTCACCCGAGTGACCTAGATTCTCAGCCGTCACACTGTGAGTCTGATCGTACCCTTCAAAGGTGAAGGGCTCCAGGCTGCTGTCGTACTGAGCTTTCCTGGTAACAACGTTAATCGGCGACTGTCTCCTTCCCCCGCAGTACGGATGTTGATCTGCCCAGTGAGCAGGCTCTAGGACAAGACAGCTTCACGTCACACAGAAGTGCGATGATATGAGACAAGATTTCTCAGATGCACAGATCTCTCCAAACCTCTGCTTTTCTTAAAAAAAAAATGAAATACTGCAAGCCCTCAGATATATGAATATCATTGGTGTCTCTGCACTGCTGGGTTTTGGCTCGCACCTTCAGCATGGCTGCTTATAAAGAATTAGCATGAAATAAAGGCTGGAAGTCTGGGCATGGCGTGATGGAATGCACTTTTCAACAGCAGGGCTGCACTATTAACA